CGTAGTCATCTTATCCCCCCCCACGAGATGTGATAAAGGCATGTCTGTTTTGGGGCAGAACAGAAGGAGAGCACATCTCTTTGATGACCAAAGCGCAGGCCGTAAAGCTTATCGCCCCTCTACGCGCGCGCGCGCACACACACACACACACACACACACACAGCAGCAGCAGCTCGACTACTAGTACACTGATGTCTAAGGCCGCCTGACTTCAAAGGTATTAGAAGCATTTGATGATCTCCCGCCAACGTTTTGATGGCGGGTGTTGGGAATGGGGGCTACGTTAACAACTGTGCAATCTCCAAAGTGGCAATCTCAACGTATTCATGGCTACAGTGTGAGTGTGTGTGGGGGTAGCTGTGGGTGAGGGGGTGGGGGGTGGGGTGTGGGTTGATGGACAAGGCCGCCTCTTGACTCACAAGCAACTTGCAGTTGATTAAGAGTGAAGGAAGCGGCCTTTAATCCACGGCTCATCCAGCTGGGAGCAGCCCAAACGGTCGCGGACAATGGGGAAGTGTATTAAAGTCACTGTGTTTGTTGCCGTGTTACGGCCCACTTCCTTCATCTGTGAAGTAACGTTGGACCGACCAGGACACCTTCCGGGCTCTTGTTTTCGTGACGAGGGCAAATCCAGAGCTGGACTTGATGTGAGGAGGCGGGTTCGAAATGTTTGTCTGCACATGTTAAAAAAAAAAAAAAAAAAATGGAGGTTTGCGCCATTGTGAACAAAGCTGACTTGCTTTGCCGCGGCCTGTCAAAGCGGCTCCTCTCATTACTTTTGAATGTGTGCGGATAAGGACGCAAGTCTGGGTCTAAAAGTGCACCGATCCACTATTTGGCTTAATTTGACCCAACTTTCTGGTTTATTTTGCACAAAAATTTTGTTGTTTTAGATGTATCAACCCCAAAAATTGGGTTGTATATATATATATATATATATATATATATATATATTTATTTTTTTTTTTTAACTTTTTTTAAAGTGTACATCAAATTAATATCAAATGTATCTTTTCAGAATAAAATCTGCATCCTAATGCTGGTCATCATTGTGGGACTTGAAAACCTAAGTATTATTATTATTATTATTATTTATTTATTTTTTGGGTGGTACTTGGTGTGAAACATTTGAGAACCGCTGTTTTATTGTATTCACTTGAGGCTATTGAACATGTGTGCACATCAGCGTCAAACGCAGGAAACAGGAGGAGGAGGATTTCTTCTTCCTACATGTGTTTTCTCTCCCAATTAGACTCGCAGCCACTGGAAAAAAAAAACAAAAAACATCAGTGTGTGCAAAGGACATTCTCGCTGGTGGTGGTAGAAGGGGAGCGGAGGTAATTTTCTTTCCCCATAAGTAGAGAGGGCCTCATTCTTTTCGTGTTTGCCATTGTTTGGTGTTTGGGTACATTTCCTCCTATGTAGCCAAGGCAGGAAAATAGACAAACAGCAGCACACATACTTTGGTGTTGATGTTTTATGCTCCCGTGTTTTAAAGCATTGTCTCTCAAGTCCTGTTGTTGCCCCGCCGCCTAATTAAGACCTCAGAGCGACTTGTTGACTCCACAAAGACTCGTGTTTGGGCAGCGTGCGTAAGTGTGGGTGTGTCCGCCTTGGCTCGGACATAGCTGGAGTGCAACATGGATTACCCCCCCCCCACACACACACACACTGCCCCCTCCCCCACCTCGCCGCACAACATACAAAAGCATCGGCTCACACACAAGAATGGAGTCATTCATTTACTGTTTGAGGGCCGCTCAAGTGGAGTGTGACGCTGAGCGCTCTTGCGTCGCTAATTCTTCAAAAAAATGCCGGTAAACATTCAGTGTGCCTTTTTCACATAAAACGGACTGGCAGAGTGAAGAAAAAAAAAATCTGCAATTACGATGGTGCCGAACTGCAAACATGCAGGGTTTGACTGTAGTTTTCAGTTGTAATATCACCAATCTCCACTGGATGGCAGACATGTTTGAGTTGCACTCACACTGGGTCTTCTACTGCCCCATATTACAACGAGAGTAGACCTAATAACTTTTTTGCAGATTTGGAATGACATACAGGACCAAATATAGAACCTTGATAACATTAACATTTTGAGTGAGTTAATTTTTGTGAGGAAAAAAAAATACAAAATGAGTTCTTGCACTTCACGTTGGTTTCTTGTTCACCAGTTTTGTGCCGTCCTTGAATGGTCTTTTTTAATTTTTTTTTTTTTTTTTAAATCAAGCAAATGAAATCCTTTTAGAGCACATGATTGCGCATGCGCGCAGTTTAGACGGAACGTTGGTGTGGTGGAATAGTGGGTGTCGATCCATATGGGGATTCTTCAGCCCTGGAGGAAGTCCCCCCATCCCCCTTTAACGCTAGCTGTTTACGGAAAGGGGACAAAACGTGATGACATCACATTGCAGTTAATCCAACCCCTTAGCAGATATGCCGCATAAACACGGACTGGCTTAACTGAAAGGTCACCTGTCCCCGAGAGAGCTCACTTAGACAAACGAGAATACAGAGAAAAGAGGTTCAAATAGGGCCAGACGTGAATTTGAGACTATTAGTTGACCCCCGCGTGGTTTTGCCACAAGCTGTCAGGTCAGGCGAGAGGTTGCCACATTACAACAACTGAACTCATAAGACATTATGGAAACAAACTTTTTTTTTTCTCAACTGTTCCCACCAAAAAAAAAAAAATCTTTGGACAAGCTGTGCAGGCAACAAGTGCAAAAACAAGTTTACCGTTGTTAATGGTAAAGCATGAAAATCTTAAAATGCACTGTGCAGTCCATTTAACGATAAAAATGTACAGGAGATTTTTGTTGTTGTCAAATGCAGTGCATCAAGTACGCATTAGTTGTATTTAACTTAAGGGTACGGTACATTTGCATTTCATCTCTAAGATTTCTTTTATTTTTAGACAACTAAACTATTATGTGCAATAAATTATGGAATCATAGCAGCTCTTTTTTTTTTTTCCATTTTCAAAGGTTTAAATGCGGCGTTAAAGTTCCAGCCGTACATAACTTTACATGAGGCTTATAAAAGTCAAGTCAAGTCAAATTTATTTATGTAGCGCAGCCTTCAATCACAAAAAGAGTCTCAAAGGGCTTCACGGGCTCACAGTTGACAAATATTAACGACATTCTCTGATCGAAACCTCCCAAGAGTTAGTCATCCATCCATCCATCCATCCAGTCATCCATTTTCTAATCCGTTTATCCTCACGAGGGTCGCGGGCGTGCTGGAGCCTATCCCAGCCGTCTTTGGGCGGTAGGCAGGTTACACCCTGAACCGGTTGCCAGCCAATCGCAGGGCACAAACAGACAAACAACCATTCGCGCTCACAATCACACCTACGCACAATTTGGAGTGTCCACTCAACTTACCGGTCGGTTAAATGATAGTATTTCGACTCCTTTTGTGTGTTGAATGTTTTCTTAGCTTTGTCACACAGCTGTAACTGTCTGCCCCCCCCCCC